TATCTGTATGTATGCGGCATATGCCGTGTATCTTCAAAATATTGTAAATCAGAAGACAGACGTTATAATGCGCAGCTGTGGCCGAAGATAAAATCTTTATAAGGATATAAGGAAGCATTACGTAGCTTTGGCGAATTAAAGGTACGGGAGCCAGTTATATCGTACAAATATTGCCTGTTTTACTCCAAAGAACAGAATTTTAACACGGGATGTGGGCCGAGGGCGGCGTGCTTGCTCCTGCTACGAATATGTATATTCGTGAAGGAGAAAGCACACATTCCTCGGCGTACATCTAGTAACAAAATCCAGTATTCAGGAACAACTCGTTTTCTGAAGACTAATCAGTCCTTAGAAAACGCGTGGTTCATGAATATTTCATATGCTCCGAAATGAGGGGATTGCAGACCCGCTTAGCTATCTTGCTAACAACGCATACGCAAGCAGGCACGTTTGACCAACCAACACGGCAATGAGCCTGTGGCTTCGGGTGTGACTTTGATTTAGACACAGCCTAGTGCATGTGATTTGATGTATATAAAACATACATGGGACAGCATCCCGTCTAAAACTGTGGTTGGGTAAGGCACCGTTTAAACTATAGACTGACTTTGGTCGTGATATTTTTCGCATAGAACATGGACTGAAAGAGCGTCATTTGATTTATTTATAGCCCGAATCGTAAGTCAGCCAAAATGCGATAAGTTAAAGTAGGAAGGGAAATTTTCTATTGCAAACTGCACATTGCATACCCGCAAATCCTTTGACAAATTCTGAAGTATCTGGCGACATAATTAGGTGAATATATGCACAGAATAATGTAGGTAGAACAAGGTGCCGGGCTGATCGATCACGCCCGCTTGATCAGTATCTGGAAAATTTAAAAATGCAGAAGATTTTTACACTGACTCGGGTGGTTGAGAATAGTTTCTTGATATTAAAACTGGAAAAGTATGTTAACATATAGGGACAAAATGCAAATCACAAGACGGTTAACCACAACAATAATATATGTCAACGAATTTCCAAAAATACGTTTAATTTTTCAGGTGAACCCTCCGATTTAAAACCATCCTCCGTCAAATTTTCATCCACGTCGGAGTCAGTAACTGTAAAGTGGGAAGACCCTTCTTGTGGACCGGCATATTTGTATGAATTGTCGATCACCGGTGGGAACTTAGATCAGACAGAGATACTGTATTCAAATGTCTACGAACATACATTTACAGAGGGAATTCTGCCATTTACTAACTATTCCGTGAAATTGACCGCAATCAGTCTGGTGGGCGATAAGGGATCTAAAGAGGAAGTCGTCACAACATGGCCAGGAAGTAAGCAGACATATATGAGTTAATTTTGCATATATCAAATCTTTGAAAGTGACTTTGTGCGTTATAAATTCCTCTTATTTGCCTATATGCCTAGATTTTGCTATAATTAATGTAGTCAATCATCCAGCATAAAGCCCATATAAATAAGAATAAGCAACGTCCACGTTTTTACCAGCCGATATGGCTTTCAATAGCGGTTTTCACATTTCGGCGTCAGAGGTAAATTCTTAGTGATCTGATTATGCCGGCTATTTGTCAGACTTAAGTAATTAAACTATGTAAGGCATTACTCAGTTATAAACTAAAATTGATGAGCCTTTAAGAACATGTAGGTACATAGTTTACAACTGATCAAGATCCTCTGCAGAAAAATATTTAAAAAATTGTGATCAAACCTTAAAATTTAGGTAACCATGTTAACATCTTAATGTCCCGCTTTTGTAATTTTCAATCTTTGTTTGAATTTATGGTCTTTAGCGTATTCCAGATCAAAAGTGGTTCTCTATCTACCTGAATTGATGCCGGATAGGGTACTTCGCCAGTTAAACGCATTTAAAATCTAAAACATCACTAAAATAGCATACATACTCTTTATTTTTTTCATTTGAACGATGCTAGGATTTTCGTTTTCGAAACCCTTTGCGCAAAGAGTAACTTTAACAGCATTTCTTCGCGTAAGGTTTACTATTAGGTACACGTAGTTTTTAAATTTGTCCGCCGTTTTGCAAACCTTTCAACTGCTTGTTTAAAAGACCTCATAAAAATACTTCAGCATTGCTTGCAATTCTATATTCTAAAATATGTCGATGACATAAACACTTCTTTTAGTTGATATTTGGCCTTCCAGACATATGCATTAATCGCTAACTATGAATAAAATTAATTGTTTCAGTTCCTGAGATGCCGGAGATCGTGTCTATTGTGTCATCACCGGAAGAGGTATCACGACAAGGAAGTTCAAGTATAAATTTAAAATGGTTGAAACCGCGGTTGAATGGAGACCTTAAGCAATACAATATAACCTACTTTTCAGAAGATAAGATTGTTGGCCAAGACTCCACACATGAGGACGGCATATCTTTAAAGTCGCTGAACAATGGGCAGTACTTTGTGGAACTTTATGCCATAACAAAGGCTAATGGGGAATCCAATGGCGGTGGCAAGGGTCCTACGAATAGGGCAGGACCAATCGCGGTTCCGTCTGGTAAGTTTTACAAGGCAAATTAAAAGTTATAACGAGAGTTTGCTATTTCATTCACTGTCTTGTTTGCTAAACGCCAGCTGTCTAAATATATCAGGAATGTTTTTGCTGCAGCTGTTTCAAAAATCAAGAGTTGTTTCACTGACCCACCTAATCTTTTTAATTGATATGCAGATCGAAGAAGCGTAAACTAAGCTATATTAGGCCAAATAGGCCTTAAAATAATCTTCCAGACATCGTCATCATTATTGACTCAATAGTAAATTGTAAGAAATTAAAGTGAAATAAGAACTTTCAATGGAGAACGTATTAGTCATGTATGGGAAGACGCTCATTTTATGTTTGAACAAACCGTTTCCTATACAACGTTTTCACAGTTCGAACAAATGTCACCCTTACATATGCACAAATTGGTTTGGGCACAATTCGCCTTCAGTGGGACTTTTCACAAGTAAAAACAGCATGTGGCATCTACTCAAACACAATCTACTACAACGACGGAGATCAAACCCACAAAGAGGTCTCAGTTCCTGCTTCGAATCAATATATCTTGAAGAATCTTGCTCCAGGTTTAAACTACACGTTTCTTGTCAGCGCTGATTGTGTCGGGTCAACAGCTGCGGTCACAAAGGAGGTTCAAGCCACATCAAAACAATATCGTAAGTAGACTTTCATCCAGCTTTGGTTTTCATGAGTCTCCTTTCAAAAGTGAAAACTTTTAACCGACCGATGATGTACCATTTAGAAGTGAAAGCAGGAGACTACCTTAAAGGACCAAAACCCCTATCTATTATCATAACTTGTGAATTTGTATTCAAAACCACAGAATTAATTCACTTTTCTTATGACGCCATTTAAGGAAAAAAGCCTGCAGGGAAAGCACATAGAACCGAGAACTGTGATCAATTTGCAAAACTTAATGACGGTTTGTCAACACAGAATATGTTTTTTCCTCAACCGTCATTTGAGAGAACAAAACAGCAGCAGCCAACATAAGGAGTGCTGCAACTACTTTTACCTCCATAAAATCTGTTAACATTTATATTAATTCTGTTGCTGCCGACACTGTAATTATCTTACAGACAAAATTAATATCACAAAGTGTTATAAACAAATCGCAAAATGTCCATGACTTTTGCTTAAATCTTAAGAATGGGAAATGACTGGCTATACTTAAATGCAAAAGACGTTGGATAGGAAAATAAACAGTCCGATATCTCAGTTGTCGCATTGCCATTGACATAGACCGTACTCGTTGTCTAATATTCACTTCCACTGCCGTGCAAAACGGTTTGATGACTCAGCACGAACGCAAAAAAACGAGAACAGACAAAAAGAGTCCAATATGGGAGAAGTTAACAATTACTGATATCTTACCTCTGCTTTCCTTTAAACAGAACTTGCTTCCTTAGGCATATAGACGTTTCCACTTTAGTTCCGCTTATGCCTCAGCAAAATATTTTTAAAAGGACAGCCCTGTCTGACATGCTTACCCGCTTTATTTTCTGCGAAACAGTCTTGCGGTTTAAAAAGGCTACTTAAGTGAACCATATGGACTGATATGTGCCTTGCCTAAAGGCCTTAGAGATAAATTCCAAGCGGTTTCGGGCTAGAAATCACGTTTATAATGGAGCCAAAAATTATCAACCCAAAGATGTCCGACTTGGGTGGGCATCAGGGACATAAACTGTTTACTTGACATTATTAAGGACGTGTAAATTATGGTCCTCGATTTCAACGAACTGCGCAACTAAACGTCCTATTATTATTAACATCAACACTGTCATTACAAATACAGTTACCGGTAGCATTATAACTAATATCATTACTGCTGAGATACCGCTGGTATTACTAGGAGCACAGTGCTTACACAGATAAGCCCGTCACTAATCATGCGTACATTACTTTAAATAGTTATCAGAGCCGCATCGAGTATTTAAGTAAGCAGGAGTCGATTTCATTGCAGGTTTGCACTCTCTCATTGCCTGTGTACCGTCACCTAGTACGTAACAGTCATGAATATCCGCAAACTACTGGCCTAATCAAAGAGAAAACCATTGGTTTTTACCCTAATCTACCATTATTATTTGAATGTCTTGATAAGAGAAGCTTGTTGTCCGATGTCTTGTTCAGTTGACAATGACCATAACCGCTGCTTTCACTCAAAAAGTCCATTTTCGTTTAGAGTCTCATGCAGTTCAGCCCGGAGTATCTCTCATCAAAACGGTTCTATCCACTTCTCACTTTTTCAATTTCCAAGAAGACAGCTAAAATAAGCATAGCTTGCGTGTGAAGATACAGACTGAACGGAAAACAGCCAAAAACACTATATGAGTTGAGGTGACGGGTTTCTGCTATGTTTCCTCTAAGTACTTTTGAGTGGAAACTGTCCCCTTATGCAAAAACAAACGATTTCCCGTTTAGCTCCGTCTGCGCCTCAAAATCTGGTCGTGAAGGTGACTTCAAACAGTATGGACGTGTCTTGGAGCCCGCCTGCCTCACCCAATGGCAAACTTGGAGCATACAATGTTAGCATCGATATTGGGACAACTGACAGCAAAGAGGTGGAAGGCCTTAATGCAAGCTTCGCAGATCTGAAACCAATGACCACTTACAAGGTTACCGTCAGAGCTCAAACCGACGCCGGCTACGGACCTGCCGCCTCAATAACGGTTATCACGGATCCAGACGGTAGGAAAGATACAATTCCAGCATGCTTTCTCTTTTACTTCACACTTTATCAGATTGGCGGACGAGATTGTTGCATAGAGCTTTCATGCTGTCTGCAAAAACCATTTTAGTCTCATAGCCCCTGAAATAACAGCTCAGGCAATATATTAGCCTTTCCGACCAAGTTCTGAAGTTGGCAACATACTTCTCCCCCTTTCTATCGGCATCGTTTTGGAGCTAGTGAATACTTCGTCGAGATATTAACCAAAATTTAAATCTTACATTGCAGAACATCTACTTAGCCTGGAGGACATTTATGGGTTAGAATAGGGCTAGAGTGTTGCGATTACTTTTTCAATTCTTTGACATCTCAGTAAAATAGAACTTTACCTCTGCATTTGTAAGTATCAACAGTGAGATTCACGTCTAGGTATAGATCAACTACCGACGTATGAAATTGTGATAAGCGCCAGGTACAACGAACTTTTTGTCTCTCAAAACTCATCTATATTGACAAAATGCTGCATACACAGAAACGACCTTTTCGACTCAAAGTTACGTGCTTAAAATAAAAAAAACTTGGTTTATCGACTGTAAACTGGCATTGTATATTTTAGTTTTTTGTATTTATCACGTAAAAGAGGCAATTACGGATCGGAAATATCCCTGTTTTTTTTTAAAGTAGTTCAATTTATGTGAGACAGCGACTTTCCGATTTTTCCGACCCAATTAACGTATGTACGACTTTAAGTAAGAACGGTATTAGGTTAGAGTATCTGCATGCCAGCCCACATTGAAAATCCAGCACAAGCACTTTACTTTGAAGTTTGCATTGGAGGAAACGTCAGACTTCATTTTGCATCGCCATTTTGGATGCTCCTCTCCATGTCAGAAAGAATATTAAAAATCGCTTAATTGAGCCCGGGAAATGGCGGATGACTTTGAACTAATTATTGCCTTTCCTTGTCGAAAAAATTCCTTAGACTAGAGGTTCCCAAAGAGCCTATTCAAAAACCCATTCAAACTTGGAAATCTGCTATTAACATTTAAAGAAGTAGGAAGATTGAAGAGATGTGTATAATGACCAATAACATGAAAATTAAATGACTAGTTTTGATATTGGAAGCGAGGAATGTGCAAATAATAACAGCTCATAATCTGTGCACACTTCATTCCTCAGGTAGGTTTGAGCTTTGTCACAAAATAATATGCACTATGTACTACGTTACTCCCCTCTCAAACAGTACATTGGAGTCCTTTCGCGCTGAGTTCTTTGTCTATTTGGACATATAGTAAATTGCAGTTTTCGATAAGAATACTCTGCCGCTTACCTAACAGACCTAAATCATTGTTTCCTCTCTTTACGTAAACGAGCCGTAGTGATCGCTTTAGTACATTGTCTTTCGAATTTCCAATGCGATGCTACTTTCCTTTCTTAACCGAATGACTGTCCAACCGGATACATTAGCAGTCCATGGCAAGAGCATAAAATGGAGGAGGTGCCACCTTACGAAGTAAAGTCTTTATTTTCCTTGCCAGAGACCCAAATACCCAATGCCCCAAAGGACTTGAATGCTACTCTCCAGAGTCCAACATCAGCACTGATTACGTGGAACAAACCTGATGAGCCTTCGCCACCACTCACAGGCTACCTACTTTCATTCAGACAACAAGACGGGAATTGGGAGTCCGTTAGCATTTTAGGGGACGCGGTGAAATACTTACTCACTGGCCTGCAGCCCTCGTCAACCTACGAACTCCAGCTCCGCGCTTCAAGCAATTTCATCAATGGAAAGCCGGCTAATACAACGCTGTCCACTCTCGTGGCAGGTAGGGTGTCCGCGTAATGCTTTTGGTTTCTGCAATCCTTTGTCCTTCACTGCTTCCTACTCATCACTGTTATCACCGCATTCAACCATGACTTTCATCTTCGGACCAACAAGAGTTATCTCGAATCCCATCTTGCTCAGCGGCATTTTCGATTTCATTCTGCTTGTCCGACATTCTTCTCAGCCACCCTGAAACAGAGTACGAATTCCGCATTCCTCACTTCACATACTCCACTACGTGGTTGCCATCTTCATTAAAACCTCAATCTGTGCTACTTTCGCCCTCAAAACGTATCAAGTTCTCTAGGGCTACATTGAATTTATGCCTGCTAGAGTTTTATCAGTTTTGGACCTATACATTGCTGTGTTCTCCCTAAGCATGTGATCAATATCCCATGGCTTCATCTGCAGTAGGAGCGCTTAGCTGTGTTCCCGTGTTTTTTTGTCGCACTATGCGTTCTCTCGAAAAGCCCTCCTCTTAGGTGGTCGGGTCGCGATTGCCTCTTCTGGCTCAGAAAAACATGCTATTATCCATTGTTGGTTTAAATCAACAGAAGTGGGTAAATCCGAATTGTCTGGTCGCCATCGCGCTAATTCCTGCTGCTAAAGTTGACGGCAATGTAGGTAGAGTACCTGGGAAGGCATTCTTGCGTAGGTTTTGCAAACCGGACCTTTGTAATCACAACATGCCAATTTCCTGAAATAAGTTCACTGGCGGATTTAATGTGATGCCACTTGGATTGACCGCTGGACCTTCTAAGATTTTGTTTTCACATGGTAATAAACTAGCAGCAGCAATAACAGAACGAACAGCCGAACATACTAGACTGTAAATTTGAAAAATTTAAATTCACATTCTTGGAGAAAAACGAGTCGTCGGATCCCGGAGAGTTGTATCAACGGTCCCGCAGCTAGGGCATCCTTGTAAGTGAAAATGAATTTATATTCACGCGCCTACAAGTATTTTACCCCTAGTCATTGCAGAAGAAACAATAAGTTAAGATGAATTAAATAAATAATTTTTCTCTTTCTTTGGCTGATTTTTGCTCACAAATTCTGTTGCCATGGACGTCGACCTGAGTGCAGTTCCATGGAGTTGCTGCCTAATTTAGAAATAGGACACGACTCACAACGGCCCCCAAATATGTACACCGGCAGCTGCAGTATGTGTTAAAGATCCGGGTGTATTGAAGGATTAGAGGATATCCTCTTCTTACAAGATCGTGAATCGGTATATTCTGAGAACCGAAGAGCCGTCTGCTGATAAGCGATTGCCGTGGAAAGTTAATAGCCAGTTTTAGCATTAGAGAGACAATACAAGAGACTATATCTGATTTCCTTAGATTTTATACGTCTTATATGAGGTAGCCTGTGGAGAATATTGCCTGAAGCGCTATGTGTCCTTGCATGTGCTTGGTAATTTAACCCTCACCTTCAGATATAAAAATGCTGCGGCAGTCTCCTGTAGGCAAGATCGATGCATGGTCGGTCGGTGCACAATCAGCAATGAGGTTCTTGACTGTTTAAAAGCCACAGATTTTTTCAGTAGGGTACAAAACCAGTTTAAACCCGGCATTAACTGCGGGAAAATTTAACGGACATCGTCCAAGTGCTCGAAAAGCGTAATCTTTGATGTCTGATTTTATTTTATTGCAGCTCCGTCGTTGCCATCAAATATTCGGGCGACCCAGATAAGTGCGGACGAAGTGCGCATCACCTGGGACCCTCCCAAGTCTTCACGAGCCGAGGCAGGAGAAGAGGAGATGATTGTGAAATCATTTAAGGGTGGAGTTCTGCAGGAAACGGCCAAGAAACCCATATCTGAAGGTGTCCATACTGTAAACGAAATTCAGCCAGACACTGTGATGTCCTTCACGGTACAGGTCGTGAGTCCTGGACCTCTTGGAGGTTTTAGTGAAATCAAGCAGCTTCCGGATCTCATAACATGGCGGGCACGTAAGTTTTGGAGCCAGTATGATTACATGCCCGAAAACATTGTCTTCTAAAAAGTTGTTAGAAAGGCTTAACTGCATAATCATAAAAGGTCTATCCTGCAGACTGATCAGAATAGGAGATATAGTAATCGAAGAGTACTGTAGTTCTGGGGATCAAATTCCGGACATTCATTAAACTTACAACAATAACGGTGACCAAGAATCCGTACAAACTGCCAAATTGTTCTATCCATGTAACATTTAAGGAAGGTTAACTCAAAAGCTCTACAAAAATCTTTGTTTTTTCGTCTATCACGAAGTCATATACAGTATTCTTAGATGTAATGGTTTATAGTTAAGTGATGAAAAACGTGCATTGTGTCATTTAAGGTAGCGTAATCCACTTTTGGAACACTGATAGTAATTCTTTAAACTCCGTCTATATGCAAGATATTTGCAAATTCGCAATGCTTAGTAAAAAATTGTAATATATTAAATATAATGTTTTTATCAGCTTCAGTACCTCATGCGTAGACGCCTCGCTCTAACTGCATCGATCGATAAAAATACTGTCCAATGGTGTGAGCTTGAGGAAGCATGTCACTCAGGATATCTGATTGCTCCTCTGTTGGAGCCTGGTCTAGAGTAATTTGCCCGGCATGACTCAGATGCCCACTCTCAGAACAGTTTTATTAATTCTAGCGATCGCAGGTGCCTAGCTGATTTCTCTCTTGAAAAGCCTCCTCAGTGAGAATGAACTAACGTAAAACGTTTAAATTTCAGCAATGGCGGCACCAAAGGCTCTCACATTGACAGCAACGGGAGAAAACAGTTTCTACGCCTCTTGGACTGAAAATGAAGAAAAAGCCCTCCTCCTGAAGTATGAAATAAGAGTTACAGCGGCTGATACGAAAAAGACGGAGATCCACTACACGGATAGCACATTTATCTCAATTAATAACCTTGACACATTCACGGAATATATAGTGCAGGTCGCGGCAGTTGGCAAACCGAACCAAAATGGAGAAGGGTCTGTGGCTGGCCCAAATTCCACGGCCACAGTTAGGACGTGGTCAGGGCGTACGTCTATCATGAATGACATTCTATTTAAAGGCTTGTTATATACATTACCATTATCGTCACCAAATAATACTCCTGTATTACATTGTTGGGTTTAAAACGTGTTTGTTGTGGCCAATAGTTCTGTTTTTATATGCCATGACTTTGTGTTACGTGTGTTCGAGTGTTTGATATGTTTTGATATGCAGATGTAGGTATAAATTTAGGAGGCAAAATGTGAACAACATGTGTAATGCTACATTGCATAATACTTGTGCGCGTAACTTTCCCTGCTCTCGATTTGTTTATTACAACGAAATTTTTTATTCTTCTATGCCATAAATAGACGTTACGCGCCTACTGAGTTCCTTATTGGCAAGGCGATGAGGTGGTTGGTAGAAAATCATGTCTTCTGCATATATTATACTCAAAGAAAGTGTATTTTTGGTGTTAAGTATACTATTGAGTATACTATTACTTACAATTTGGTAGTCATCTCTTTGGTGAGAGCGGTTTTTACGCGAGGACGAAAAAAAGGTACATTCAGAAGCCAACAACCTGACGAGTCCGAAATATTATGAGATGGGGCCGCGTGATAATTAGTACTGCAACTCCACCTATGCAATCTTTCCTAATTGAATGCGTATTTCTGAGTTTCGGCTAACATTTCATAAGATCGGTCACTCACTGTATTTAATTATGGTATTACTTGCGGATATTCACCTATTTGAACGACAAAATATGAAAATCACTTGCATCTGACATATTCCTCCAGATATTCCCTCTACTAAATTTCTGCCTGCAAATATATACCAAAGGCTCCCAACCACACCATCGTCTAGTTAATTAAGAACTCAGTATGCCAAATAGAAGTTGCACATGTTGTTGCCATTGTGTGCTAACGTCTGGACGGCAAAAAATCGAGAATGTAGTCTGACCTGTCTTGTCAGCTGTACAAAGCTCTGTCAAACCACAACATTCAATAATTGGAACAACTTAAATCAAATTTCACTTTGTGTTGCACGCTAACAAGATCGTTTTTATGCCTCATTATAGGCGGAGGAATTCCAGCAGAACTGAATGGCAGTGCAACAAACACGAGCATTTCACTCTCCTGGGAGAAGCCTAAAGGACGTCCGACGGGCATAGTAAAGCACTACGAGGTAAAGGTCAAGGACAAGACCGGCAACGGACCCGACGAAGTTGTCCACGCCGACACGTACACATTCACCGCTCAGAACCTGAAGCCTCTCACAATGTACACAGTCGAGGTACGCACAATGAATGAACCTGCTGAAGGCACTGAAAACGGCGGCGGTTTGGGCGATCCAGCAATCCTAGACGTCGAAACCTGGCCGGGCGGTAAGCATTCTCTTCCCTCAGCACTGTTAATATACTCACTGGAGTCGTCAGCAGTTAGGTTCGTTGGGGACTACGAAGTTTCCCTATCATCTGTTATAAGAGACGCGGCTTTGTTGGGAACAAGAAGCATTACAGCTAGCGCTCAACGCATCCGCGTATGCTTTCCAACATTCAGCATTCCTTGGTTTTATCATGCTCACTCTTGTTCCATTCTGAGGAATTGACGGCTAGAACGCAGGATCCGTCGGGAGGATCCGCGTCTCTGAAGCTAGTGCATTAGGAGATAGGTCAGTGTACAGGTCACTGCACTTGTGCCTGCCTTTCACACATGTTGCTGTGAGGAATAGCCCCATCACGACTTTTACGACGTCAGTACGCCTACATGGCCATTGCGATTGCGGGCTTGCAGCAATAAGCTTCCACATATGCATACTCTTCGGTTAGTAGGAAATTTGTCGCAGAAACAGAATCCCCTCGCACTAATTGCAAAAGTGGACTTTCATTCCACTAGTTACCTTTACATCTGAGAAATAATTCCATGAACACATTTTCGGCGCTATGACTTATTGCACTGACCATCACGCGTACCCGATAAAATATTCGGTCATCAGGCTTGCAGTCATGACCCCCTAGAACGATGTTTAATCTAAATTCGTGAGTAGCACTGAGTTTTTGCATTCTGAGAATAATCACTGGAACAGAACAATCTCGCGCTGACTTTGGAAATTTAGTTTTCGTTGGAATAAACGCACCTGTAGCGTAGAATAGGAAGGCATAATGCTCTCTCCTCACCTGATGCAAGCTGAAACATTGCAGCCCAAGAAACCATGCTGTTATTGAATTCAGAAGAATATTTGGCTAGCACAAATTTGCTTTCGATAAATTCTCGTCAGGCCGGTACATTTATATTGAGACGGTGTCAAGTAAAACATGTCAGTGCTTAGTGAAATCGATTAAAGCTCATCTTTTCACACAAGTGGATGTGAGATTAATGGGAGAGGGTGGTAAGAGGCAGTGGATGTCAGGAAGAGCCGTGTCAGGGTGCAGGGGAGGGTGGGAAGGCACAGGGGATCGTATCTAGTTAATAAACCCTTGGCCACGGTAAATGCGGTGCTTGCATAGGGTTCTTCTGTGCACAAAAGTCCGGCTTGTGCAATCCGATGGCAGCCACTGCAGCTGCAGCTGCTGCTGCTGCTGCTGCTAACAGTGACTTGAGGTAGTTCAGTATGAAATTATTATTACAGGAAAAGTTCCGCTGGGCTCCACACGACGCTCGGAGTCAACAATGTGCGCGGAAATGGGGCCTCTTCTTAGCCATGCCGAGACCACTTCCCGTATTCTTTTGGGCAGGCGCCGACTCGTGCAACCAGTATAACTTACTCTTGGGAACAAATTAACGACTGAGTGCACATTGAGGTGGTCTGAGATGGCAACTTCGCCTTCCCTTCAGCGTGTAAGATGGGGTTGGTCGAGAATAATGCCTGAATTTTCGTTGCTGGGATGATTCGTGAGGCGGTTTTGTCAAAGTTTCTTCTTGGGATTCCACTCCGCACGTTACCTTGAAAGGGGACTATGAGGGACAGAGCTTACTTTTCTGTCACAAGTGTGGTGTATTTTGCTAATATGTTGATAGTATTCGTCACAATACATCCGTCAGGAAACCTGTTCTGACGAAACGGGTCTTGGATCTTTCTAAGCCCCTTCCTCATGTTGTCCGCCGATAAAATTTCGGTAACATGTGGTTATGCACCCCCACCTGATGGACACAATGCTGTTGGAGTTGGGGTTAGGGTTAGGGGTTGGGTTAGGGGTTGTGGTTAGGGTTAGGGGATAGGGCAAGGAGTGAGTGCTAGTTGCTATGGCAACTATGTCTTGACCACCCAAAGTACAACCACGCGTTCCCAATAGCTTTACATTTGCATACAACTACTTTACCTCGTTGCCTGTGCATTCCCCGGCCCCACCATTAAAAACCTATTACCGCCGGTTCCTTATTACAGGTGGCTAAGGTTTGTTTACTTCATAACCACATCTGATTCAGATTTCTCTAGCCTTTTGTAACAAATAGAAAACTAGATTGCATTTTTGTTGAAGGGACACAAAACTGCTGAAGTTCACATACTGATTGGACTATGTTTTCTCCTTTGGACTCTATTATCGGGTTACTTTATGTCGTAGCATTTGCGTTGACGGTTAGCAGTTTTCGATCATCCTCTTGCATATTTTGGTATTGTATTGCAGTGCGAAAAAATTGGAGCAAAATTAGGGCAGGGAAGCCACATTAATTGGATTATATGCAATGCCCAATTTTCTCACATTTATTCCCCACTTCAGGCTCCTTCGAACCAACTAACGCAAAAGTGGAACTTCTGCCACCTTCGGCGATAAAGGTGAGCTGGTCGCCACCGCAAGACCTAATTGGCTCCGTTGAGGAGTACCGTGTTCTGCTCAAGAAAGGTGATGCCCTCGTTCGCTCTGAGTCGGCACCAGGAACCACAATGAGTCTCGTCTTGACAGAGTTGGAGACCGGCGTAAAGTACAAAGTCTACATTCAGGCCAAGATTGCCCCCAACAGCCAGGGGAAGGGCGGTCGCCTGGGTCCAGAAGTTTTCATCACTGAAACCTCCTTGACTGAATCAGGTATGGTGTCCTTTGTATGTTGGTATTCGGGGTTTCACGATGGGCAAAAGCAGAATACGCTCATTGGGTGGGAATACTCGAAAAACTTAGGCCGAAAATGTTTTGCAGACATCAGCAATGAAAAACGTAAATTTGATGAGCTGGCCCAAGCCAATGCATACACGATAACATGTAGACGGCTAAAGCACATGCTTGCAGTCACCGATTGGGGTTTCACATGGGAAAGCGTTGCATCCTGATAAGTGTCCTTTTTTCTGTAAATATGTTAGCGGTGCCGGAAAGTAATGCCTATTTTGGAAGCAATCGGGAGATGGCACCCAAAAAATCCGTTACCTTGAAATAATACCTTTAACAATGGACTCAAACGCCTTCAGGCTAAATCAGCCGTTGCAGGCCTACTTTCACGCACTGCTTGGACTTTCCGCGATGGCCTAACATGGGCTGGTGGAAAGAAAATCGCAGGAGGTTACATGGGCGATGGTCGTTGTTGCCCAACCTTCCCCATCTTTACACACATACCCCTGAATATACGGCATACAGTCGCATTATGGCAGTTTATTGCAAAACAAAAACACTTCTCAATAGGATAAGTCTGCGCAACATGCGACAGGAAAAGTTTCCAGGCATCTGCCTAGGACATGACATTGAGGCCAAACCAAAGTCGATACTGTACTTCGTCTATGTGAGCGAACACAGTTCGATTACATACAGGACCTCCCTCGTTGAGTTTCCTTTTCAGTCTACTGCAGTATGCCTCAATGGCATTTGTGTGCCGTCCGGTGGTAGGGTCCTTGAAGTTCTTTGAGTGGTTAACAGAGAAATGTAGATAACCTTCTGAGGGAAGAAGATTATACGTCTTCCACTCGTCCGTTACCACTATACTGCCTTTGGCGACCCATTTTGTAATAACGGGACGGAGAGCGGGCCAACTTCGATTATTCACCTGTTCAAATAAGGTTTTCTGTCGGCTAGTATCGTACATCTCGACCAGCCACCACCCACAAAACCCCTTTTACCCCCTGTCCCGTAAGACAGACTGCTTTGGCTAGGCGGATTTTTTTGGATGCCATCTCCCGATTGTTACTTTTATTTTAACAAATAACAACAAAGGCGTCAGCGGGAAACGTTTAGCTTTTTCACCTGTTATGCAGACACGGTCGGTATCAATCATTGTTCCTAAAAACTAAGTTTCGCCTCGCCCTCTTTATATATATGTGGTTTTGCAGTGATGCAGAGAGTTCAAAGAACCTGGTTTTGGCGTCATTAATATTTCAAATGATTGTTCCGCCAACGTATTGCTCCAGACATCTCAACAAATGATGACTAGTTGGCCCACAATCAGGTGAATAGGCTTGATAGGACGAGAATTTCCAGCCCGAACCTCGAATCCATTTGCGGGTTTCCTGCGCTATAATGCAACAGAATGACATCTTTCTCTGTTTATTCGCGTTGGGTGTGTAACGGCAAGTGTTTGCTCCAAACATTCTTATTATTGACATTAGAGGTCTTCGGTTACGGTTCGACTTTGTTGCAGTAGCTGAAAGAAACGTATGCCTACCATACTCCAACAAACTCATTGCAAGACTTCCCTGCAGTGTGGGCTTGATTTCGGCGTAGGAACTGGTGTTTGCACTCATTATCAGCATAGTGAATTAAGTTTTCGTCTTGGGGGAAAATTTACTGAAGAGATGGTCCCCTCTCTGATCTGCGTGACGAAACGTTGCGGATTGTGTCACCTATAAACAGAATATTTGAAGGAAGAAGAGAAACGGATTTTAAAGAGATTGTAATAAGTCCTATGTGCTGTAGATGCCCCCAGCGTTGTTCATTGTTGTGAAGACTTTCTAATTACTTAAGGATTTTTTAAATAAATTCGCACGGCTATACTTCTTCTCACAGTGCTTATTAGAGAATATTGCAGTAAAAATGGAGTCCATCGTGTCTTATGTAATGGGAAATGCACGTTCTCAGCGGTTGAATAGGTTTGGGCTGTTTACAGGAGGGAAACAATAGGGAAATATGGGGGAACGACATTCCTAAAAAGTAGAATGAAAAGAGAACTTTGCTTGAATTGTTCATATAAATTTTGACAAAGACAACACAGCCATGGAAAGTCAACTAGAAATATGCACCTTATGTAAGCAATGGTGTCTTTGTCCATTGGCGTGTTTATAAGAGGTTGCAGACGGCCGGCCAGGATTACTTTACCTGCTAATTTCTTCTGAGACCCTTCCTGAACAGCCGTTTATACTTTGAAAATGAATCGATGAAATTCCGCCAATGTTTCTAGAGAATTACTGCCCATCCGTGAATTTCTGCTTTCACGTTCAACGACCACGTTACGCGTTCGTACCAAGAGGTTTTAGGACTCCGGCATTAACACCGCCGTGATTGAAGACTAACTACGTCCACTAACTTAGAGACCTATGTTTACTTTGTTGGAGATCTACACAACGTAAGTACAACTCTGAGGGACCCATTTGCCAATCAGTTATTATAGTTTAAAATGTAAAAAACAAATGTATCGACTGATTTTAAAATGAATAAAACGGGGATTGTTAATTTAAAGTCACCATTTCTAGGTTAGGAACGCCAGACAGCCAGCTAATAAAGATGAAACTCCTAAAATGACAGTTTGAACTCACGTGTAGACCTCTGCGTTGCGTGGTAGTATTCTAAATCTACAAACTGTGTCATTCGTTAACTGCAATTGGCGTCAATCATCCACGTTGTGAAGGATGTCAGGAAGTGTGACCCATAAATTATGTATGAATATGCCATGCCCTGTTATCCCTATCATTAGAGACTGTTTGCTTTCTAACCTGAGAAATGCTTCATTAGATCAGTCAGCATAAAACAATTTGTTTGTCAGCCTTCTTAAATCAGCTTCACGACAAAGGACTCCTTAGGCCTGAGGATCACTGCTCATGAACTGGACTGTAACGTTTCATGCAACATCAACGTAGAGGAATTACAGTTCTACGATGTTGAAAATTTTGCTAGATAGAACAATGGAGATCTTCAGGATATTCCGGATTTCGAGGAGTCTGACATTAAGACTATGTCTTGTTATAGAAAGGCAGCCCTTAATGTTCCTACTACGTACTTATCTAATATTTTAACTGTTATAGAGATTATAGCCCAAATCTAGAGACTTTTGTAGACGACAGGAAAGACCTACCAGGGTGGTCGAAATGCCAGTGCTTGTCTGCAAAATCAAAATGCTGTCCTCTAGACTTTACATTTGATATGAGTAATACTCATTACAGTACAAGCTTGTGTTTGTCTTTATCAGGTGGTGATGATTAGTCAGAGTAAAACAATTTGTTTATCAGTGTTAATGTGATTGCTTTGGAACGCACACATACATTTTGATGCTTCCTTTAAACCGCAAATAAAATAGTTGACCCGGCAGTTCAAAAAGCATTCAAAAGCGTAACGTTGTTTGCACATCACAACAGCCTTCTGACATCAGCTTCACAGTAAAGGACGTCTTAAGCCTGAGGATCAGTGCTCATGAACCGGACTGTAACGTTTCATGAAACAGCGTAGAGGAATTACAGTTCTACGATGTTTAAAATTTTGCTACGTTTTGGCAGGTGGAACAATGGAGACATTCCGAATATTCCGGCCTTTGTTTTCGTCGCCATCGAGGAGTCTGACATAAAGACTCTGTCTTGTCATGGAAAGACAGCACTTAATGTTCCTACCACGTGCTTATCCCATATTTTAACTGCTTTTGAGCTCATAGCCCAAATCTAGAGACTTTTATAGACTTTACATTTGATATGAGTAATACTCATTGCAGTTCAAGCTTGTGTTTGTCTTCGGCAGGTGGCGGAGATGACGTCCAGCTCACAGGTGGCCTTAGCGGAGGCGCCATTGCTGGCATCGTGATTGGTGTCCTTCTCGCGTTCATTCTCCTGCTTCTCCTCGTCCTTGTTCTAATGAGAAGACGCAACCAGAACGTTATGATCGATGACTTCCAGTGGTCAGAAGGAACAGGCGCAAGCTTCTTCGTTGACGACATAGAGATGAGCACATTTGGAAGGTAAGCGCCTCGACAGACTCTTTCTGTGATTTGTAATTTCTTCACACTTTTAAGAAAGATGCGACCTCCCATCAGTGCAAAGCGATGGCGCCCCAGAATGCGGGTTTTCCCACATTCGTAGTCGAAAACGCATGGTTGGCCTGCGGCGGAATACCTTTTTAATTTATTCCGATAGACATTTTAGTTATTTTATGTGACGGAAAATGTCAATTTTGCACTCGGTAATATGCCGCTTATTCAGCTGGAAACCTCCGCAAACAATGCGTTACGCATGAGTACTATCATCAGTGAAAAAGTCGTTTCTGATTTAGTCTCGTAAGAAATGACCACGTTAATGCGCTCGGGCGCCAAATAAGTTCACCGAGGTCATCTTCTGAAGTGGAACTATCTAACGCGACGCTCTTTGAGGTTATTTTAGTATTACATGCAAAACGGTACTGGGGAATTCACAGTGAATTTTCGCATGTAAAGAGGATTTCTAAGTGAAGTCAGAAAGGTTTACTACTAAAACTTGATTCTTACAACCAAAAATTAAATTCAGATTATTAACTACGTTCTTCGCGTGATAACGTTATCCGGTGTATCACTCCGGGCGAATTATGAAGCGTTAATTTTAAAACACTAAATTTAGGGTAACGCATTTGCTAAAACCATGATAAAGTCATCACGCGATCAGAGACTTTAAACGTAGCATTAACTTCACCCTACATTACTTTCTTATTTTTCCTCAAGTTATATAATCAGAGGGTAGGAACTGGATCAAGGGGCTTTGGTTTGTTGAAGTGCTGTAGCATGTGTGACTGGAATAAATTACCATAAATGAGGAAGTTTGAAATAATGAAATGATCAAGAAGTAAAATCATACTCGGTTTTTATTGTCATTTTGAACTCCACGTTCCTCTTAAAACGAAGAGCAAAACAGGGGGAGTATATCGGCTTGTTTTCACCCACAAAAAGACTTTAAACTAGGTTCTTGAGAGTTTGGGCGATCAGAGATTACGGTTCCTTACAAGATCATATTTAATGCTATTGATGACATTGTCTACGGGTTTCTACCTTGATCAGTGTTTTCCGCATTTTGCGAAAAACTTCAAGATTAGATTGAAGACCATTTCAGCGGTGACGAACACTAAATATAGGTCGTGATGAAGGTGATGTAAATTCTGGTATGATATGTTGTCGACTAGTAGAATTCCATACAGATCCCACAGTTAACATGGGACAAAGCCACCATGCTGACCACCTGCGTCTAATTATCCGTCCCAATGCCCGTTATCCCCTTCTGCCCCCTAACACTGACGGTAATTTTGTTTTTCACCTCACATACCCAGCCCCTCCCCCCAAACCCAAGCCACAGGAAAACTTCTGCCTGCCCCCATTTTCTTCTTAAGCACTTCGATAGCAATATAAATGTATAGGCCTGATGAGAATTTATGGGAAGCTTACGTATGTTCGCAAAATTGTCTTTTGAAGATCAGTATATTTTTAAAGTTATTTGTTCTAAATGATTATTACATGTTATATTGCATTTAAGAGCGTGTACAAAAATTATGCATTGATGATTGCGGTAAACGTTAAAGTCAGGCGTTCAGAAAAAAATATTGTCTTTATCCATACGTAGGTTGTTGCACATTTAACCCTCTTTGGGATTAACAGACTATTCATCTCCTATTTATGCTGACTGCCCCTAAACAAACTCAATTGCACTGTCATTTTAGCGATCTGGGGTCGATGTTGTAAGACGACCTGAAGAGATCCGGGCGTTCGAAAATTCCAGCAAATGGCCAACTGGTTCATCAATGAAATTCATACTTGCTTACAACTGCAAAACCTGAAAATAATTCTTATGTTCTATTCAGAGCTTAAAATACCCAACTTGGTTTTGGAAAATAAAATTTACTGAGACATGCCATTTCTATAAATTGGATTGGGAATATTTATTCTTGCATCCATAAACGTTAACCCTTACGAAACACATAAGGCGCGTAATATGGGAACAGATGCAGTGACTCATAGGACATAAAATATTAGATAATACGGGCAAGCATTTGAAAACGATTTAAAATGAGAATACGTCTTTTCTATAATCGCATGCGAATTGGTGATAAATAAGAACAGTAAGCGTAGTTAGTTTTAAAAGGACTAGGCTGATCTCTGAAGTAAAGTTTACATAACTTCGGAAATACACAACGTAGAAGTCTTCGTGGTACGTCCAAAAACGTCGAAATGCTTATTTTTTGACCATGTAGTTCAGAACAGAAACCTAGCGAAATATTTTAACACTTTAAAAGCTCCTTCATTTGCTTCGGATTTTAGCGATCGAATCCAAATTTATCTAACGCACTTAGAGTAAACATTTTATAATAGTACACAGTTTAACCAGGGACAGATTACCAACAAACATTAGGGAGACTAGTATGGTCGTTTCTGGCCTACAAGTCATCGTCCGTCAGTCTTACCCAACTCCGGGTTCGGTGCAGTCCGAGGCTCAAACTTGCCTTCTTCTGACTGGTAGGCAGTAGCACATCCAACACTCCAATCGTTTGTTTACAGACCTCTTTTTCTGTCGGTTGGGATCGGAAATATTAACGTTCACTGATCGGATGACGGGACCCGCTCGTCCTGTTGCGCTTTGAGGCTGGATCTCGATTCCCATAGCATTCGTAAAACGATAGGTAATATATGCAGAAGAACACTACCGATATGAAAAAGGGAAACTGGGACCGTTTAGTGGTCAGAACTGACATCTAGTGAGTCATAAATGTTCATCGAAGACCCCTCTGTTTATTCGTCTGAACTGAAAGCCCACTCAGTTACTGATTAAAATTCAACGAGAGCCGAAAGAAGAAAGATTCCGTCTCCTCGAGACACTTGTCTTCCTGAGACACTTGCAGACGCTGCGGTGTCGGACGTGCCATCATCCGGCTGTTAAATCCTACCAACCTCTTCCCTAATAGTTCTGCACAGAATACAGCCTCCTCCCAACTGGAGTTCCACTTATCCTCTTCCTGTTAGGAAGTGGGCCTGATTGTCATAACGGTCAGGGTCTACCCACGCCTTAGGCCGCTGCGAAAGGACGCGGGCTCGATGACTGACAACGCTATGCACCTTGTCTAAGCGTGCTTAACACACGATATGCTCCCTGCTCATGTTACAAGGACCATAATTTCTGGAGTCCCACAGCACTCGTACAGCGGCAGGTAATATATGCAGAAGAACACTACCGATATGAAAAAGGGAAACTGGGACCGTTTAGTGGTCAGAACTGACATCTAGTGAGTCATCAATGTTCATCGAAGACCCCTCTGTTTATTCGTCTGAACTGAAAGCCCACTCAATTACTGATTAAAATTCCACGATAGCCAAAATAAGAACAATCCTGTCTCCCCGGAACACTTGTCTTCCTGAAACTCAAGACAGACATGCAGCAGTAGCGGGAGCCAACCCGAATTCCTGGTTTGTGTATATGCATTAAACAGCAAGACCTTGGCAGTCGTCAGGGTTATTCAAGACGGTAACGCCAGAGGCGATATTTTTCTCTCAACTCCACTTACAGCCTTTTTTACGTAAATTGTGTTATATCTCACAAATGGGTCTTCGGTGCAGAAAGGCCACCTAAGTAATGCCAAGTCAACTTTATGCCTTAAACTATTCGGTGGTTGTCAATAAAGAGTCGCAGGTGCACTGACTTGAATAGTTTTCAGAAAAATACGCCGAACCAAGTATCATCTAGCCTTGAGGATTGTCCAACAGACGTATTAGTAAAAACGTACTAGTCAAGAATATCGTCGTTGTCGGGTGGAGTTGCTCTTATGGTGGATACATTCAACTGCTTTTAATTACCTCTTGAAAATCGGCAGGTTTCCTACGGATATATGGGAGCAGATCTGAATGTAGAACGGAATAGCTACTTGAATACCGTACGCATACGTGTGTGAGGCAGGTTTACGAGTCGTGTAGGTAGGGTTTACTAACATGGAGGATTCGCACTAGAAAATACCGTCAAACTGTTCGAAAGTAAACACCAAATCCACTTTGCGCAGCTGGGCTGCCCCCAGGTCCTTCCGTGTAATACTCTTTGCCAAGACCCGTCGACAATGAAGGATCAATGACATATTTGTCCTGTCTAAACTTCAAACTCATCCTGCTAGTCGTCTAGCATATTGGCATAGGATGTATGACAGTTCTATCGTCGCAACTGACGGCGTCCGTGGGAAGTCCAATAGGGTAGGTACATCACGATGACTTGCTTGTGAATCACTTCATAATGTGGAAGGCATTCGCAGTATCTGCCGCACACACCACTCTCTCCCCATCTTGCTGGGCGACAAGTCTCATCTAGTGTAGTGTCCTAAATCCGGACGCATGTTGCCATGCTGAGCCTCTCGCAGTCAGGTTGTCGGCAAATAGCGACTGTCCAGACTGCCCAATGAAATTTGAGACTGACTTACACATGACCTCGTGAAGGCGCCGGACAACTGCACCGCCGTCCGACACTTGCGGACGCTGCTCTCGCGGTGTCGGTCGAGCCATCGTCCGACCGACAAATCCTACCAAACTCTTCTCAAATTTCGCAAATATTTTCATGTTACAATTGAAAAGTCAAGTTGGCGAACGCATGTTTTCGGTAATTCTTCCTCAGGCCAATACAATTACATGAAGGAATGAAAATGTACAAAATCAACAGTGTTTATAGATGACTCAAGGGCTATTAAGTCACTAACACTCATCATCCCCACGCCGCCCGCATGAGAAGGTCGGCGGGTGTTAGTCGTCAGAGCTAGGGGAGGGGGGTAAGAGAGTCTTTGAGTAATGATCTTGGGTTGAGTACATGGAGTACCCGTCATCGTGATTAGGGATTTGAGGTGGCATGGCTTCATCACTTGGGGTTGGCGTTGGCCACGGCAGCGAAAGCGCTTGTGTCAGAGTTTTCTGACAGCATAACACCGGATTTTACTAACCGTATAGCTACTGCCTCTGCCGTTGCTAGTATCCGTTGGCATAGGCCTTTAGAGAAGCATGTTGGTGTCCGGTAGACAACCTGAAATGCTTTCTTGGCATCGACTCGGTGGTTCGTATCGATTAAATGCGCGAGAATGGAACTCGAAATCGACCGGGTCTCACCTCTGTCTAGCCAGGCGGGCATATGTTCACGCACCCTCTTTACCAGGCGTCTCGTTGTGCGGCCGATGTATCCTGCTTCACAGGAGCAAGTGAATGAATAAATGCTAATTGATGTGGCCTCCAACGGTAGTCTGTCTTTACCTCCCAAACGTAGGAGGGGAGAGTTTGTGAAGCATACGCGTAAATTCGCCGCAGGGAATGCCCTCGTGATAGCTGTAGTTAAGCGCCGTCGGACTAGTTCGCTCTCTGTGTCTCCTCTAAAAGGCAATCTTATGAATACATCTTTCTTTTCCGCAGTCTCAACAGTGGGCTTTTCAACGCGTTCCCCAATATTTCGGAGGATGAATCTATCTGGGTATCCGTTCTCCCGAAGTGTGTTCCGCAGCTGTTGAAGTTTTTCTTCAATAGCTTCAGGTGAGCAGATTCGTCTCACTCTAGCCGCCAATCCCTGGACTAAATTCCGTTTGATGTTTAGGGGGACGAAACTGTGGAAATTAACATATTGTCCCGTCCAGGTTTTCTTTCGGAACACCCTGCGCTGGATAGACCCATCCTCTTGCCTGTGCACAAGGACATCGAGAAAGGCAAGTTCGTTATCTGCCTCGGTCTCTGCAGTGAACTTTAGCGAGGGGTGCGCACTGTTGAACTTTTGGACAAGCTCCTCGGTATCGGTGGTACCATCCGTCAGGCAGAAGATATCGTCCACGTACCGACGGTAGAAGACGAGGCCATTAATGGTCTCTTGCAAGCTTGTTTTCTCGACTTTGCCCTTGAGGCATCTATAAACACTGTTGATTTTGTACATTTTCATTCGTTCATGTAATTGTATTGGCCTGAGGAAGAATTACCAAAAACGTGCGTTCGCCAACTTGACCTTTCAATCTTCTCAAATTGTTCTGCACGGAATAAAACCTACTTCCAACTGGCGTTCCACGCCTTAAGACGCTGAGATCGTAATACTCGCGAAGTGAGCGCTGGCTCGATGACTGACAACGTTATGCACCTCGTCTAAGCTTGCTAATCATACGATCTTGTCCCTGTTCTTATTCCAAGGGCCATAAATTCCGTTTAAGTGAAGATTTTCATGGATATACTGTTGGCCGATAACACGAATTTTTTTTAATTAAATTTCAGAACGGACATATTTTGGGATGTTAGTCTCGGCGTGCAGTAGGTGGGTCTGACCGACCTGGGGAGTTAACATTCAAATGAAACTTGAAATCGGAATTCAAGTAGTGTTCAGGTTTATTCTGGGCTCTAGGAAGCTGTGTTCTGACCCACGGCCTCATCCAACAGCCGCTGTGATGAAGGAACGAAATTCTATGAGTTCAACCGTGGCTTCTTCACAACACAGTGCATTTTCAAAAACAGCATGCAAACACGACAAGCCGACGGGGCATACGTGGCGAATTTGTTGAAATATTCATGAACTCTGAAGCGATATTTCCCCGGTATGGATTTGATTGCAAAATCCATACTCACTAGCCGTCCTCTGGTTTTGTGCGATACGCATATAACTGGCCAAATAGGTTGCTCTAGACGCTGGATTTACAGTGGTAGTTGTTCAGGGGACGGGTGAGGAAGCAAATTCGCGTTTTAAAAGAAAATGGAAAAAATGTCCAAAAAACTGGTATTTCCTGTGACGTCTGTTTTGATCCGGCAGGATTTGGGGGTGAGCTCTGTAGAGCATGCTTTACTCAAAGTCCGTTCCTGGGTCTACGTGAAAACTGACGAAGACCCAAGCCGGGTCCACAATAAGACATTAGCCAAGACCGTCCTCGTTCACTCTGTGCCCAGTGCACAGTGAACGGTGTTTTCGTTAAACTGAGCCAAGTTTTTTTTAGTAAGGATGCGGTAGACTGTGTTTTGGTCGTGATCATTATTCAGACAGCGTAGCGAATTCACAGTCTTATAGTAACACTGACTACGACTTGGCAATGGTTACTCAAGAGCATCTGGTTACTCTTAGAAACTTAGACAGTTTTGAAGACCACGTTGCAAGTTGGTCGCCCAGGTTAGGGAACAAGTCAGCGTTTTAGAAAAAAAAGAATTTATCTGAAGCCTGTGGCAAACTGACTGGCTTCGATAAAATGGCCCAAGTTCAGTGCACTTTCACTCGTAACACGGTGTGAGAAAGTGAGCAATTTTACTCGCGGCACTTGCGGCGTCTGAATTACCGTGAGTCGGCGGCGGCGATGCCTCTGGGTAGACACACCCCGTCGTGCTTATTCAGTATGAGCTGTCAGGAGGACTCCACCCTGGGGGACCCGCCAGACAACAGTGTCTCGCTGGCCTTTGAACTGCATGTCAACTTGCCGCAAAGCACACTCAGCACACCCCATATCGACACGAAAAACGGTTTGTTCAATTGTCTTTTATTTGGTGAGCTATAGCGCCTACTCAAAGACTAATATTGTTGAAATATGCAAAAAGTAAGTAATAATTACTGATCCAAGTACGATTAAGTGTACTTTTTTCAAAGGGGAACTCGATTTGGGGAACATGAGCAACCTCAAGTCAAAGACGAAAAAAGCTTTATTTCCCCACAATCTCCAAGAGTAAAAAATGTCTAAAAAAATTTAGTATTTCCTGTGACGTCTGTTTTGATCCAGCATGCTTTACTCAATGTCAGTTCCTGGGTTGACGTGAAATCCGACGAAGACCCAAGCTGAGTCCACGACACGATGTTAGCTAAGACCATTCTTGTTCACTTTGTACCCAGTGCACTGTAAACGGTTTTTTGGTTTAACTGCCCCACGGTTTTTTTTGTAAGGATGTGGTCGACTAGGTTTCTGCCCTGATAATTATTCAGACAGCGCAGCGAAGTCACAGTCTTGTAACTCATAGGGCAACACTTACTACGACTTGGCAATGCTTACGCAAGTGCAACT